GTCGCCAATTCCGAATATTCGATTTTTGTACATCTTCGCTGAGTTTGTCTTTCCATTTTTTTCGGTTACCGACATTTCGTGGTTTGGCTGTTTGAGGAAAGTATGCAAACATGGCTTTTTTGACCATGGATGGTATGTTGTCTTCTGTTTGCATGCTGTTTGCGTGTCCCAACCAACGAAGCCGATTTCTACTGAGGATATTGCTTAGATGTGGTTGTCCAGTGAGTTGTAGAAGTTGTTCATTTGGCATACGATCATCCAAATTGATTCCAATTATAGTTCTCAGGCATTTGAGATAGAAGGTATTGAGACGTTGTTCTTGTGCTGCTGTTGTTGACCATATCTCACTGCCATAGAGGAGACCCGGAAGAACGCAAGCGCGAAAAATTCGCAATTTTGCTTGAATTGAAACGGTTTTTCTACACCAGATAACATGACGTAACATATTGAATGCTCTTGAGACTTTTGCAAGACATGTTTCAAGTTCTTTCTCGATCGATTGATCTCTTGTTACACAACATCCGAGGTAACGAAAATCGTTGACAGTTTTAATTTTTTCGTTCCGAATGGTTATTGTCAGATTTTGGTTGCCAATTTCTTGATCTTTGATGACTTTGTTTGTTATAAGATCTCGTTGTAGTTGTTTGAGGGACATGACGCATGTTTTCTTTACACTCATTGTGAGCCCGAATTGTTGTGTCACTTGTTCAAAGCATTGAATGAAGAGTTCAAGATCAGTGGCATTGTTACGCACCGTGACCAAATCATCAGCATATAGCAAGAGGAGGATTTCCAAATCTATATAGTTATCACTTGCAGGGTGAAAGAAGTCATTACTACCATAAGCCATTTTGATTCCAGTTATACCGAGAAGTTTTACCTGTTCAATGACACGACGCATGATGAAGTCGAAAAGGACGTTGAAGAGGATGCATGATGGAATTCCACCTTGTTGAACGCCAGAATTGATATCGAATGGATCAGAAATTTCTCCATTTATTCGAACTTGTGCTTTGGTGTCCTGGTAAAGAAGTTTGAGTATTTGAGCAATCTTGTCAGTAAGACCGTAATGGCGGCATATTTGAAGCAATTAGAGCCAAGAAGAAACTTAAAAATCCCGCTTCTAACAGCAATACTGTCCACCAACGAAACATCGATATACAGATGAATGAAACGGAAGAGCAAGCATCTTGTGATGGTGACAGTATGGGCGATCTTACACAAAACGGAAGTGCCACAAAGAAAAAGAAATGTTCCATTTCTCCGCCTTGGCCAGAAGCGATTTCTCGTGGCTTAAAAGAGACACGTTTGCAACAATTTCTTCAGCAAATGTCAATGTCAGCACTAGCTGAAACTACTTGTTCAGTTTGCAACGTCCGTACGGCAGCAAATAAATCGAAAAAAATACCGGTCTCAAAAATTCCTAATGCTCATTTACTTGAAGTTTCTGACGAGCACAAAGACTTAATCATAAGCAATCAGTCATCAACGGCACAAAATTCCAGCGGTATAAATATACATACGGCTGAACATGATCAAAGTAATATATAATTTTCAAAAGTAGAGAATTCATCTTCAATTTTTATTATTTTAGGT